AAAAAAACTTATTACCTTCCTACCAAAAAATTTCTTCTTATTTGATCTTGACTCTCTCTCTCTCTCTCTCTCTCTCTCTCTATATATATATATATATATATATATATATTATATATATATATATATATATATGATAATTTGAGAATTCATAGTATCATGAGAATCAGAGAACAAAAAGGTGGAACATTAGATCAAAAAATGAAAGGGTTGGATCAGTAGTGGCATGATTGTAATTATAATTAATTCCAATGACATTTTAGGATTTTTAAGAATATATCAAGGGAAATATTGGAATAAAAACTTATTTACCTAAAAATTAGACTAATTACCCAGTCTTTGTTTAGTTTCTCTCGCCAATCTCTCTCCCCTCTTTCTTTCACTTTTTTCTAATGTAACCTAGGTTCCACCATTGCCAATCGATGTCGTTGTCTTCTGTATCTGGATAATCTCTACTAAAAAAATGCTTTGTTCTCCGCCTATTGAGATCTGTAACGCCAAACCCTAGGGTGGACGAGTTCAAACGATTTGCAAAAGTTTAATGCAATTAGATCTAATTTGTTCTCAAGGTCAAACTCAAGATTGCTTGTGTATATTTCGAATGACAGAAGTTTACATCAATCAACTCAATTGAATTCTCTAAAATCAAAAAGATATCATGAAATCGTGAACACACACACATTCTCTCTCTCTCTCTCTCTCTATATATATATATATATATATATATATATATATATATATATCCCTCTCCACTACAATTTAATCAATATTCCAATCTCAGTTAACCTCATCGTTGTCAATCATCTTCCCCCATAGAATGAATCTTCAATTGGCTACCAGATCGTCCACCTCAGTTGGTTGTTCCTCCACTCCACCTCATCAGGTATAAACAAACTACTATAAACATGACTCCATTTCTTGATTTTATGTTTTCTATTGAGTTTATTTTGGAAAAAAAAATTCGATACCTTAGATGGTAAAATGTCTATTTTTCTTGATTATATGTTTTAAAATGTCTCAGATTCGTTACCTTGATGTTAATCATTGGTATTGGTTTGTTTCTTTAAATTTTAAGATCCAATAATGTGCAATGAATTGTGTCTATGTTTTATAGGAAGATATGTTAATTGACATCCAAGTAAAGAGAATGGAGGTGATAATATGACACTAGGAATTAGAGAGATTAAATGACATTCCATTTAATGACTAATTGATGATGTACTAGAAGCCTAAAATGCCATATTTGTCAAATCTTGAAAAATGAAACTCTAAATCATGCTTTATCCTGTAATGTAGATGTAAATCCTAATACCAATGGCAACTCTATTTACAACTTTTGAACATCTAGATAGTTATCTATTGAACCATAAATCACATGGGCAAGTGTATACACATATCAATATGTTGTGTTACTTGATTTCATGTACTTAATTCAACTGTAAAAAAGAAAGGTGGTCTATCAGTGGAGATGTGGGAGTAATATACAAATACAAGAACACATTAATTGATGTCAAATTTGACACACAATCAAATGTATGCTTCTTAGTTCTTACTTCTAACTTCCTTAATCTCATATACGGTGCATCATCTTCATTGTTACACTAAATACGACAGATTGCTACAACATTAACATTCATGGAGTTTGTTCCCTCAACAAAGACTATTGCTTCATTCAAACTCCCTAATTTTACATTTGGAAAGGTACAATTACTACATTCATTATCTGTTTATTCATTTCTTGATCTAATATTAGAGATTTGACTTTTGACTTTCTTTTTTCCTCACAACATGAGGTCCAGTATTTTCATTACCATGCTCCTTTAACATCTATAGTTGCTTTGACTCAAGCTCCAAACGTTGACCTTTCAGCTACAACTACCAAACTTATATTTTCCATAGGTCCAGAGGCATGCTATGAAACTTATTCTTGTAAATTAACAAAGTACACTATTAACAAACCAGATTCTAGTGCTTTAGTAGTCCTATAAGCAATATCCTTTCAAAACCTTTTAAATTATATAAACATATCTTTTCAATAATGGAACATAGAATATTTTCAAGGGTGATAAAGGGGACACAATAAGGGAATCATATATACACCACTTTGATGCATTAAAAAAGAATGTTGTTGAATGAGAGATTATCGTAAGGTTCTTAACAAATGAAAACACCTTCATTGTTGGATGGTCTTATGCGGTTGATGGTTTAACCACGGTTAAGGATAAACTCAACAACCATGGTAAATATAACATCATTTAATTAAAAAACAAAAGTTACAATATCTTTTTGTTCCTATATTAGAAAGAATTGAGAAACCACACACAGAGTTAGAATTTTGATGTGGTTTCTCTAGAGAAGTTCGTGATCTAGTTGACATTGATCTTAAACTAACTCCAAGAAAATAACAACTTTTGAGCATTTGAATTACATGTGATTCATATGTAAATCAGAATTGAATCACATAGAAATTACATGTGATTCACATATGAATCACATATAATTCACTTGTAAATCACAAGTGAATCACAAGTGAACACATATGAATTATATATGATTCATATGTAATTCACATATGAATCACATATAATTCACAAATGAATCACATGTTAATCACAAGTGAATCACATGTTAATAACAAGTGAATCACATGTTAATCGCAAGTGATTCACATATGAATCACATGTAATTCATATGTAAATCACAAGTGACTCACATGTAAATCACAAGTGAACCACATATGAATTATATGTGATTAAAATGTAATTCACATATGAATCACATGTAATTCACATATAAATTACATATGATTTACATGTAAATCACATATAATTACACACATGCATTTTGTGTATATGTTCTTCGTTAAATTTTTAAAAGTTTTCTTGTGATATTCACATTTGAATCTTAAAAGATGCAATCACATGTGGATACCACATTATATAATCACATGTGAATCTTACATGATATAATCACACGTAAATCTTACATGATATATGCGTATGTATTTTTGTGAGTGTTCTTGTATTAATCATTTTTTTGTCTTGTAGATTTGGAACAATTTGTGGAAAATATTGAAGAGGTGAAAAGTGATAAAATGAAATATATATATATATATATATATATATATATATATATATATATATATATATATATGAAAATCTTGACACGACTAAATTAAAATGCTTTGGAAATTTGTAGCATTTTTTGTTTTTTTATAGAAAAAACATCATAAATGGTCCCTGTGGTTTCCCCAAATCTGAAGCTTAGTCACCGTGGTTTAAAAACATCATAGATGGTCCCTGTGCTTTCAAAACTTTTAACGATTGGTCCTTATAGCTCACTCCGTTAATTTTTGTCCGTTAACTGAAGGGTATTTTCATCATTTCACTACCACAGGGACCATTTATGATGTTTTCTCTTATTTTACAAAAATGAAATAATATACAAAAGGGTTCCCCCCCCCCTCTCTCTCTAAAAAAAGAAACCCACTCCCCCATCTTCTTCTTCTTCCTCACCTATATGAACAAAGCTAAATTTGATGTCCTTCTTCTCCGTTTTGATCAATAACTTTGTACAACACATTTGGATCCTAAAAGATAATTACATGATCCCACCCAGTATTCCTCTTCCAATACAACTATCTGTCCAAACCATTCAATAAAACTCTGTTGCGTCTCCTCTTCATTGTACATCTCTGCCTGAACTCTGCCGCACCGCAATTAGGGTTCGCCACCAAGATCAATAATGAAAAGAATGACATGTAGAACAACTCAGCTTTGTCTGGATCCAAAAAAACCATGGTCACATAAGACCCAGATGAGATGGGAGAAGAAAATGTGGAAGAAGATGCAGTGAAAGAAACAATAGAATGATCAAAACATGAAACATAGTTCCAAGAATTTCCAACAAGCAAATCAACAAAAGCTCCAACAATGAATTGATGATTGTTCTTCCCATTTGTTCTCAAATACCATTGCAACAACTTTTCCGAACAACCCTAATCTTTCAAATTACGAGTCTCCACCATCTCCTTCATCAATTTCTTAAAACCCCTGTAAGGATTCTCAGATTCCATCACCATCACCACACTCTCGTTGAGGAATAAAGACGTAATCCCACACTATCGAGCGATCCTTTTTCCGTTTTAGAAAACAGAGGCACCCAAAACTCATATTCGATAAAAAAATCCATTTTTGTGATGAAAATAGTTGTAGAATGTTAGAATTAACAAAGGGAAACATGTTTGATCTTAATATGGTTTGGCAATCTAATGAATAGAAAAAATTTTAGAATTTAAACTTATTGCCCACCAAGTGTTTGATCTTTTGTCCGAATGAGCTTTCCATACTGTAACTTATAGTTCTTAGTTATGCTCATTGATTTCAACAATTTGGCTTCACAATTAAGCCATTAATTTGGCATTTAAATTTCTTCAAGCAATCGTTAAATCCTTAAATCATAACCTGGAGGTGTTAGGAGAAAGGCTTCCAGGAAGAGAGAGAGAGAGAGAGAGAGAGAGAGAGAGAGAGAGAGAGAGAGAGAGACCTTTATATATTATTTCATTTTTTATAAAATAAGAGAAAACATCATAAATGGTCACTGTGGTAGTGAAATGATGAAAATGTCATTCAGTTAATGGACAAAACTTAACGGCGTTAGCAATAAGGACCAATCATCAAAAGTTTTGAAAGCACATGGACCATCTATGATGTTTTTAAACCACAGGGACTAAACTTCAGATTTAAGGAAACTACAGGGACCATTTATGATGTTTTTTCTATTTATATTTTATTTTGGACAAAATTGCAAAAATGGTCCCTGTGGTATGCATTTTTTTGAGGTTTTAGTCCAAACCTCGACTTTTTTGGATTAGTGGTCCTTTTGGGCTGGTTTACATGCAATTTTGGTCCCTGTCCAAACTAAAAAGACTATTATACCCTTAATGAATTTATTTTTCATTTTTCTTTCCCTTTTTAAAATTATTATTATTATTAAATATAAAAATGGGTCTCTCTCTCTCTCTCTCTCTCTCTCTCTCTCTCGTTCTTGGATACCACCAGCAAGGGAAGAAGAACTGGTGGCTGCCCCCACCTCTGCAACTCCCTTCCTCCGTTATTTTCTTTCCCGTCGATCAAATAGCCCAAACACCCTATGTTCACTTCGTGTGCTACCCACCTCCACAGCCGTCAACAAAAGGGGAAAGCAGCCGAGAGGAGCAACGGAGCAGCCATATTGCCATCACCATCGATGCTTCAACCATCTTTGAGCCTGTCACCGCCTTCAGCTCCTGCGCTTCTTCTGTCTTAGAAAGAATCAAAAAGGGGTTGCTGCCTCCGATGTTTGCTCCGAGGAAACACCCACTTCGGTGGTGGGTTTAGGCCAGGGAATGAAGAAGAAATGGAGGTTGAAAGGGGGAAAAGGCAGCAACGATCGCAACAATCTTCAGGGGAAGTTCAGTGACTAAGATCGACAGGTAAAATGATGGAGCAACAAGGGGTTGTTGCCTCGAACTCTCGTCGGAATTGACCATCACCCCTGACATTTCATAACAGGAAACGAAGGAGAAGACATGCGAAGTAGAAGACGCAGCTGCCTCCTGTTCTTCTTCTTGATGGCAACAACAAAATTGAATGAAAAGAAAGGTGTTTGGAGCTGGTTTATCTCATCAAAGCTTTGGATGTGAAGAAGGAGAAATGGGTTCAAGATTTGGGTTGTTGATTTAGGTTCTTATTTTCGTTTACAGCTTCCATTTTCATCAGAAAATGGTGGTTTCCAGGTTTGATCGGGGGAGAAAAACAATAGTCAAAGGTGGGTGCTGGAGAGAGAGAGAGAGAGAGAGAGAGAGAGAGAGATGTGGGCCCCAAATTAGGTAATTATTTTATTTTTCATTTAAATTAAATAGAAAAAGCATAAAAAATATATCAGAAGGGCATAATAGTCTTTTCAGTTTCGTGAGGGACCAAAAACACATAGAAACCAACCCAAAAGGACCACCAATCCAAAAAAATCGAGGTTTTGGACTAAAACCCTAAAAAAATGCATACCATAAGGACCATTTTTGCAAATTTGTCTTTATTTTGTATGGAATAAAATATTTGTACTATTGTATTTATAGATTAGTAAATAAAAATGTGTTTTTTATATTATTTACTTATGAATATTGTAGTATAACAAATATGCATATATGCATCTAAAATATTGGTTTTTTGGTTAAAAAATTATAGTTTTTTTTTTAAGTATTCCAATATTTTTTTTTTAAATTGCATATTTAAAAAAAAATCATTTTTCAAAAAACTTATGTTTTCTAAAAAGTTAAAAACTATGCGTTTATTTAAAAATAAAAAATTATTATTTTTATAAAAAAATCCAAAATTTTAATTAATTATGTTAATTTTTAGACATTTTTAGTAATATTTCCAATAACACGTAAAATTAAACATCAAATGAGATTGGTAAAATGACGATAATGTCCTTAACGAGTTAATTTTGATCTAACGCTCCATATTTAGTTATCGGGTTCTTAGAAAACTATGAGTTCTCAACGAATCTCATCTCTATCTCTCTCTCTCTCTTTCCCTCTCTCTCTCTCTCTATATATATATATATAAATATATATATATATATATATATATATATATATATATATATATATATATATGTTCAGGTTCATTTGAGACCATACTAATTTTGTGAGACCGTGAGACCAAGTCTAAAAATAAATTTAAAATGCAAAATAAAATGAAAAATCAAAAAAAAAAATTATTATTTTCGGAACTTTAATTACCTTAAAGAATTAAATTTTTAAAATATATATATATATATATATATATATATATATATATATATATATATATATATATATATATATATATATGTGAAATATTCTAATAGAATATTACACTGTAAATATTTTAGTGTGATTTTTAGAATGTTAAAATGTTCTACTAGATTTGTCAGATATATAGAATATTCTAATATTCTACTAAAATATATAAAAAATGTATTTTTTATTATTTTTATTTTTTTGGTAATTTTTTTTTTTTTGGAAAATATAAATTCTAAAAATAATAATTGAAAAAACAAATTCGAAAATTTTCAATTATTTTACACTTTAAAAATGTTTTTTTAATCTACTAAATGAGTGAAGAATTGCGTTTCACGGTCTCACAAAATTAGGTCGTCTCACTTTTATATATATATATATATATATATATATATATATATATATATATATATATATATATATATATATATATATATATATATATATATATGTGTGTGTGTGTGAGAGAGAGAAATAAAAAGGTTCCAAATATATTTAAATGAAATGTGATTATGACTTTTGTTCGAGGAGTTTAAATTATGTTGACCTTATTCGTGGGTCAACAAAAACTATGATGATCACCAATCATGGTGTAGATTAAAACTTTCTCATGCTTATCGCTTTAGTTACAGCTTAAATCCCACTAATTGTGTACCTTGTTCTCTCCACATACTTATTGCCTGTGTGTATCATATCTTTTTTACTTTATGGTTTCAACACATCTATATGTCGAAGTTTATATACTTCATAAAAACAAGTTTTTTATGCAAGTCATGGTTCGAAGTATGATATTATATAGCTAAATTGGTTGTTGGAGCTATAATTACAAGAGATCGGATCTTTCTTGAGACTATTTGAAGCCTTACTAAGTTATTTATATGTCTAATTTAGTTATTAATTTTCAACACAATTTTTCATTGGGTTATTATAGATATATAGTGGTGATTGATATTGATAGCTATATATGATTTACCTAGAAATTTTAATATATATATGTATATATATATATATATATATATATATATATATATATATATATATATATATATATATATATATATATATATATATATATATATATATATATATATATATATATGAAAGTTAAGAATAATAAATTTTTTAAGTGTTTGGTAAGATTGGTCCCTAAGGTACGTTATGTTTGTTTTTTTTTTGTCATTTTTGGTATAGTTTTAAAAAACTACTTACAACATTGATCCTTCACCTTTATGCTTTTGTTCATAAACAACCCTTTTATTTTCGTTTGAATTTTTCGTAACCCTCATCTTTTATTACATATTATTAGTATTTAGTTTTTTAGGCAGAAATGGTCCCTCATTATTATTATTATTATTATTATTATTATTATTATTATTATTATTGTTAGACAAAATTACACGATTGGTCCATGTGGTTTACCAGATTTAATACATTAAGGACAACGATGGAAATCGAAATCACTCTTTTACTCCCAATCCGATTTTTTTATTAATTTATAATTCTATTTATGGTTTTAAATTAATGTTTTGTTTATTAGAAAATAGTCACCCAATACCATAAAGCTACCCACCAGCTGTCATCACCATCACCACCAAAATTACATAAATGGTCCATATGGTTTACCGGTCGTCATAAATTCAGTCCCTACTATCTTAAAAAACCAAATTACACTCACATTAACGGACAAAAAACAACGGTCTATGTTTTTCAAATTGGTTTTCCGGTCGCTGCCATAAATGGCAATAAAGTTCAATTTGTGAGATCATTTCTTTATTTTCCTCATTTATTGCAAGAAATAATGATTTAGATTTATTTACTTCTGTAATTAGATGACATTGTTTATCTTCCTTACTAGATTATCTCAATACAATTCAACATGCTACTTTACTTTACAAAACAATACCTTCCGACCCTAGCAACGCCGAAAAATCTTTTCTAGTTTCTATTAATAAAATTAGAGTATTCTAACTTGTTATGAAAACTTAGTTTTTGAGAGAAATATGTTTTAATAGTACATAATATTAAGTTAATATATCGTACTAAGTCTAACTCCATTTTAATATAAGCAATGTTGAATTTTCACAAAATTAGGATGGTCAACAAGATTATATAAGTTAGCAAATTTTATTCCTAGATTTTAGCTATTTATGTTGGCTTTCATTGTCTTTTTGTCATTTTTCTAAACCTATATATAAAGGCAATCTTCAATAAATAAATGCATCGATCATTCAATGTACTTTTATGCTTTCTTTTCTTCTTAATATTCCCAACAATCCGGTATTAGAGCAACCTTGTAACAAAGGATTTCGTCTTCAGCAAAATGATGGAATCAAACGGTGCAACTATAAGTGTCTCACAACTACAAATACTAGTATTCAAAAGGCATTCTTATGAGTTCTAGAGTACAAAGATGAAAAATTCATTTCGGTCTCAAGATCAAATGATTTGGTAGAGAATAAATTTCTTGAAAGTCACGAAGTAACAAACATAGAAAATTACAAGAAAGATGCTAAAGCCTTCTTTTGAATCCAAAAAATGAATCCAAAAAAGTAGTAATTGAGATTATCTTTTTGAGAATCGTGTGCATCTCTACAACAAAAGAGACACAGGATGTACTAAAGAATGGATATAAAGGATCGAAAGCAATTGTTACTATAAATTACTGTTTCTTATAAGGAAATTTGAAACAACAAGCATGAAGAGAAATGAAACTGTACAAGCATATCTCGCAAGCGGTTCCATATGTTGTTAGTTAAATAAGAGCTTGTACAGACAACTTGCTTGATGAAACTATGGTGGCTAAGATACTAAAAAGCATGAACCCAAAGTTTGATTATGTAGTTGCAACCATTGCAAAATCAAAATATCTCTCCATGTTTATGTGGAATGTGGATGAACTCATGGTGTCTCTTCAAGCTCTTAAAATGTAACTTCCCAAATTTAGGGCTATATTTTTCGTTTATATTAGCTTGGAAAATAAATGAAGAATTAAACAATTAAATTAATAAAATAATTTAAATAACAAAATTTAAATATTTTAAACTAATACAAGAAAGAATTCAAAGAATAAATGTTGAAATTGCAACATTTAGAAATTAGGGACTAATTATGTAAAGACATCAAAAGAGTACTTAACCAAGGTGTTGACTCACTTGAATGACCTTGGACCATTTAAATCATAAATGGGATAGGGGATGAACTAAAAGAGCAAACTCCTAAAGTTTAGTCCCATTAGTTAAAGTTTAAGGATAATATTGCATAAATATAAGAAAACGAGGGTAGAAACTGAAAATAAGCTTATTAGATGCATCACCCTTCTCATTGCAACATTTGGAAGTTAGGAACTGATTATGTAAAGAAACCAAAAGAGTACTTAACCAAGGTGTTGACTCACTTGAATGACCTTAGACCATTTAAATCATAAATGGGATAGGATGGACTAAAAGATCTAACTCCAAAAGTTTAGTCCCATTAGTTAGAGTTTAGGGATAATATTGCATAAATATGAGAAGAAAAGAGTGGAAATTGAAACTAATCTTTTTATATGCATCAACC